CAACAGAAAACACAAAGCATATCAAATGTTTAAATTAAGACATCTGACTATTTCATGACTCATTTTTAATATCACGGCAGTATACGGCACGTGTCAAAAAGATTTGAACAGGGGCAACAAAAGGTTGGAAAAGTAAATAGTACTAAAAGGAAACAGCTGGAAGAACATTTTGCAACTAATTCGGTAAAGTGACAACAGTTCAGTAACATGTAAAGAGCATCTTAGAGAGGTAGACTGGCTGGGCTTCATCTTTAATTAGCATCTACAAATCATGGAAAAATGTCCAAATAATGTTCTGCAAAAAGAGAAATCTTTGTGTACGCTGAATTAAAAACAGACATGCTTCCGTCATGCAGGTTAAAGCAGATTATTCACAGAACAAACCATATGTGAACATGATTCAGAAACGTCACCAAAATAGGCCAAACCTCATTTAAAGTGGAAAACTGTTCTGTGGACATATGAATCCAAATGGAAAATGGAAAATTAACAACCCATCATCTGAACTAAAGAGGAGAGAGACCGTCCAGCCTGTTATCAGCGCTCAGTTCAAAAGCCTGCATCTCTGATGGTCAGTAAGTGGATACGTTCCTAAGGGAGCGCCAGCTTGCACATGTGGAAAGGGACCATAAGTGCTAAACAGTACATGCACGATTCATATTTCAGCAAGAAAATGCTAAACTGCATACGGCATCTATTACAACAGCACGGCTTCGTAGTTAACGAGTCCGGGTGCCTCTTCAAAAAACAAAGCATAAATGCTCAATGAAATAAATATGACAACACAGAATAGCTTAAGAAGATAAAACCTACACAAAAGATAGAGCACATTTAAACAGAAATACAAATGAAACCACTCATGAATGTGAATATTAATATACAGCCGATAGGTCACACTACAAACCTTCTTCCACTAACAAACTTGCGCTACCATTTTTGTGTTTCACTGAACAGACAACCCCACAGTGGGACGTCCACTAAAGATCCCTGGTACATAGAAAACAACCGGCTGGAAAAATTCAGGCAGTGTCAGAAATGTAAAGATTGAACTTTCAAGGTGACTGCTGCTCTGACCCACATCACAAACGGACCTATCCAAATATGATGTACAAGAACATCAGTGACATATTAGCTCAGACTCCTTTGGCCAATGAGCTAAAAATGACATGTGATATACTATTAGGTGCTTCATATGTGAGATTTTTTTCTTTAAAGTTTAGGGAGAAAAGGCTCAAATTTGAAAAACATTAGAAGCAACAATGGAAATACCGTGAGCCTCTGTTCTCACATACTAATATCTAAATGTATCACAATGTGAATTTTACCACATGTTTACTCAGTCACTACAGAAATCCCGCTTCTCTGACAAATTAAAAAAGCAAACCACACTTTTTTGACCAACTTCAAGCTAAAACAAAGCTAACTCAGGAAAAATAATGTCTTGAGAAAAAACTCCTTGCTCCTGCCACCTGCCACACCTTTTCTGCAATGTAGCACCATTGAGTGCTTAATAGAAATTGATGACAATATTACCTGGGAAAAGATGTTGAGGAAAAAACAAAGCTTGCAACCTTACTTTCACCTGAGGCCCTCAGCAGAGCTCTGTGAGGCTGTGTGTTAATGCTCCTGAAAACATTCTCCTTCTTAATTCAATCAGCTAATGCAATATTGATACAACGAAAAGTTCCCACATTATGTTGTGAAATTACTGCAGTAAGCTCTTGAAATAAAACTGAGTGGTGCTTCACTGAAGGAGAAAGAGACGGAGAAGAGAAAAAGGAGGAAGGGTGAAAGTGTTGGGTTAATGGAAAACACAGACCATGAGAATGGCAGGCGGCAGTGTGACAGAAGGAACGGCAGAGAGAGAGAAAGAAAGAAAATGGACATGGTTGCCACTGGTAACATCACTGTGTTTTTTTAAGAAAACTTAAACTTTACCTAAAACAGCCTCTGATGCTTAATTCTTATTCCACTCCTCCCACCTCATCAGTGCCTAACACTACCGCAGTGGCCTAATTAGTACAGTGCAGTGGCCGCTGGTCCGATGAGAGCCTGTGTTTCGTCAGGCTCTCATTTGCTCTGAAACACCATTAACCTTTTGGACAGGCTGGTGCTTTGATATCTCAGCTGTTTACAGCTCTGCTCGACTTTCCAAAAGTGTTTTGTTTCAGGTGCTTGGCTGACTGCTGCGACTAAATATAGCCACTATGGAAGATTTCCCTGGAAAGGGACACACTCTAAGGGCAGAGGGTCGTCTGCGCGCGCGCGCGTGTGTGTGTGTGTGTGTGTGTGTGTGTGTGTTTGAAGGTCCTCTCATATTTCCTGACTTATGAGGACTTAATGTACTTAGAATTTGGGGTGGATGTGGAAAATTGTCATTACAAGAAGCTCAGCTTTAAAACAGCAGGAGGAATTTGAATTGTGATAGAAGCTGCTAATATATGCAAGAAATATATAATAATTTGGTTAAGTTAGACATGTAGTGGTTGAGGTTTAATCAGTTAATACTTGGTAAAATAACAGTTTTGAACATAAAAACTCCAAATCATTAACTGAATGATAGTAATAGCAACTAATCTATGGAAAATCCCCAAGCTTGTTTTCAAGTTTAACACACACACACACACACACACACACACACACACACACACACACACACACACACACGTAAACCTGTGAAACAGAACTAGTTAGTTCAATTGCTGAAATCAGACATCCATGAATTTTCTTGACTGCAGGGAGGGTTGGTGCCTATCACAGCTCTCACTGGGGTACACCCTGGACAGGTTGCCAGAGCTGTCACAGGGCTGACACAGAGAGACACAATCACTGATGCTCCCATTCACACCTATGGCCAGTTTAGAATCACAGATCAATCTAACAAGCATTTGTTTGAAGTGTAGGAAGAAGCAGAAACTACCTGGAGAGAATCCATGCAAGGCACAAGGAGAATGTGCAAACTCCACGGCTCATATGGAAAAGGCTTTCCAGACAAACGATTGTTTAACAATCAATAGTCAGAGAATAACTCAAATTACAACTAAACAGGGCTGCTGCATTGACGTCGTCCTATCATGATGCTATAAATACTGTAATGTACAATCTAGTTGTGGTATACAGATGGCGAGCGCTGTAGACTTCGCATGTAGGTTATCAGCGGATATCAGTGAACTTTTTGTGACAGTTCCAAGGACCGTGAATAAAGCCTGGCATTGGGATGGCATTCAAGAAAGAAATCCAGGTTCTTTGGCACAAAACCAAAGGACTAATGTTTTCTAAGAAATAAAAAGAAGCCTGATGGGTACTGAGAAGACACTGGGAGCACACTGAGACCAAGATACACTTGTCCAGGATTTTTGGCATAAATTTGGTCAGGACTACTACAGTGAAAAACAGTCACAATAGTGAGGCACAGAGGTAGGTTTGCAATGACATGGGCTGCTTGAGTGCAAAAGGTGTTGGGTAGATGACATTTATAGATGGCGGCGTGAATGTCTGTGGATATACCAAAATACTATCTGACAAGATGGTTTCCAGTCTCCACAATTCTGGCAGAAGAAGAATGTTCCAGCAAGATAATGATCCAAAACACACTGACACAGTCAGAGAAGACTGAAGGTAAGAACTCTGACCTGGAAAAATATCTCGCCTGGCTTGAATCCAATCAAACACCTTTGAGGTATTTTTAAGTGAAACCAAGAGCAACACACACCCAAGATCTTTGAAAAGTAGCAACATCTCTCCAGAAAAAGAATACTGACTCAGTCAACAAAATAAAGGACATGTGAGATGCTGAAACAAATTATATATTCAAATCTTATTGACAGATGAAATGAGATCATGTCATTTTTTAAAAGTATATCTAAACTATAAATTTTTCATTTTACACAAGAATACACACTCTAGAAATGAAGTTACACTGTGACAGGTGATACAAGTTTCAAAATTTGATATTTTGGTGATAATGCACTGGGGTGTACTCACATCTGTTGTATATTCTAACTATAAATACAAATTACCCATGACAGATATGGGATAGCTGTGTGTTTAGGGTACATGTACATTTACATGAACATTTACAATTTCAGCCACAGGACAATTTCGTCACCCATTACATCCTGAAATAGCAGTTAAGGGACAGGTTAGAGTTAAGCATTGAGTTGGGGTGGTTATTATTAGGGGATAACTAAGGCTACGTTCACACTGCAGGTCTTAATGCTCAATTACGATTTTTTGATCAAATCTGATTTTTTTGTCTGCTCGTTCACACTACAAATAAAATGCAACAGCAAACGCGCTCTAGTGTGAACGCTCAAAGCGGCCCGCATGCGCAAAAGAAGATGTCACAAACAACACGCTCTGTTTAGACCCAGAGCAAACAATATTGTTTGACTGATGGCCGTTAATATAAAGACTTCGGACTTTACGTTTCCCAATTTTTGCTTTAAGTTATTTTGTTATTTGCATAATAATGTGGATAACCTAATAATTATCCTTATTGCTGTTTTAGAGGAGTGGTGCTTCAAAGGATAGTTGCAGATTTCTGTCAGAATCTGCAGATTATACAGTACAAATAAAATGTTCACGTTGTCTTCCCAACAGTTTCACTGACATCAACACCGGATGGCCAGGAAGCGTTCGCGATGTCTTCTCGGGCGCTTCTCCGGCGCTGATAATTGGCGTCTGCCTTGTGTCAGTGACGTAAAAGACGGATTTAATGCGACATGACCATTCAAACAGCAGTCGCTTTCTAAAACATTGGATATGTATCGGATTCAGTACCACATACGAAAATGACCCAGATCGGATTTGAAAATATCGGATTTGTGCCGTTCACACTGTCATACCATGATCAGATATGGGTCGCATAGGGTCAAAAAAATCGGATTTGATGCACTTTTGCCTGCAGTGTGAACGTAGCCTAAGGTGGTTAGAATCTTCAATAGCACAAGTACACAAGTGTGACTTTGTGTGTATGTCAGGTTAGAGTTGAGTTTTACCTGTTCCTTTGTTGCGGTCCACAAAGCAGTACTTCAGTTCATATTCTTTCAGAATTTCATGGACTTCCTATAAAAAAAGCAAGGGACAATTTGGTCAAACAGAATGGTAGAAGTCATTAATGTAAAAAGAATAGAGAAAAAACTACAAAACTCTTGATTATACAATAATCAAGGTAGTATCAGTAAACCACAATGATCTTAAAAAGCTGTTTTGGAAAAATATCAGAATAAATGCAAACACAATGAAAGACTTAAGCAGTGAATATACAAGGGAAAAAAGGTTCTATCTTAAATGGAAAAGTAAGCTATTACATTCCAATACACAAACTGTGAGAGAAACCTTTGCATTATTAGCATGTGACAGATGCTCATCATCTTTCTCTACTGTAGTCTAGTAACAGCTATTGACTCAGATATGTAAGCCAAAATCCATTGACAAGCAAAGAATAAAAAAAAGATGATTTTATTCTTATAGATGCTAAAAAAACATCTAATAGAAGATTTAATTTATGTAAGTTGAAAACTTTTTGACGTAGCTGCTTAGTGTTTATGCACTGAATTACATTAGCCTGCAAAGCTAATTAACCTCCAGTGAGCTAACATTAGCAAACGCTAATTAGCATTAGCATTGGCTCAGCAGCTAAACAAAGGTAAATTTTTGTCATATATAATTGTATAGTCTAATGTCATAATTGATACAGGGCTCAATGTTAACACAAGTTAGTTTTACCAACAACTGAAATAAACTGAAACCCCAATAAAAAAAAAATCTCCGTTACTCCACAAATGAAGATTTATTCTTTGCATAAGCAGAAGTAAAGCTTTTTTCATTAAAGGTTGTGCTTTTCTGGTGAAATTGAAAGAATGGACACTGCACAAGAAAGCAAAAGCAAAGCTTTGAACAAAGTTGTGGGGATAATGGTACAAAACAACTAAAAATAACGCAAATTTTCAAAATAACTAATAACTAATAAGAGCTCAGACAGCACTTACACCCTTTAAAAAACCCTGATAATGTCAGCATGGTTACTTGAAACTCCATTTTCAATCACTTGAACAAACTTATCTGCAAAAATGTCTTTGATGGAAAGTTTCAATATTTGCACTGATTTGTTTTTTTAAACAGGTAATTGTTGTTTTTTTGTGTTGTTCAAATGAATAACACTAATACTGTGCTTGACATTCTTCCATCTCGCTTAGCTAAGGACTGTTTTGATGTAATTGGACCTAGTATCCTATTTCTTATGAACTTTTCCTTGCTCTCCGGCACTTTTCCTTGCTCTCCGGCTGTGTTCCTTTGGCTTTTAAGCATGCTGTAGTCCACCCGATTCTTAAAAAAAGAAACTCTGACTGTTATGCCCTTTCAAACTACAGACCGATCTCTAAGCTTTCGTTCTTGTCCAAGATCCTGGAGAGACTAGTTCTCTCCCAGCTCCAGGCGTACTTGGACACGAACAATATTGCTGAGAAATTTCAATCTGCTTTTAAGCTATTGCATAGCACTGAAACAGTGTTGGTTAGAGTTCTTAATGATATTCTTGTAATCACTGCTACTGGACGCTCTATGGTCCTAGTTTTACTGGACCTCTCTTCGGCCTTTGATATGGTGGACCATAACATCTTATTATTAAGACTTGAGCACACTGTGGGTATTAGAGGCACTGTCCTCGACTGGTTTAAATCATATCTCGCTGATAGATCCTTCTCAGTTAACTTAGGCATCTTCTCCTCTTCCTCTGCTCCGGTCTGTTGTGGTGTGCCTCAAGGATCAGTTTTCGGCCCTATTCTCTTCTCATTGTATTTGCTCCCTCTAGGCGCAATCTTTGAAAAATACAATATCGCCTTCCACTGTTACGCCGATGACATACAGATCTATTTTGAACTTACTGACGACCTTGCTGTGTCCCTGCACTACTTTCAAGAATGCATGCGGGAGGTCAAAGAATGGTTCCTGAGTAATTCTTTTGTTTTAAATGATAAGAAGACTGAGATTGTGGTGTTCAACAGTAAAATCCCTCATGCCCAACTCTGTGCTGCCCTGGGTTCCTTTGCTAGCTCTTCCTGTGACTATGTCAGTAACTTGGGTGTACTGCTGGATAGCTCGCTCAAACTCGATAAGCAAGTGTCTGCTGTACTGAGATCTAGCTTCCACCAACTGTGCCTTATCTCTAAGGCTAGGCATCATGTTCCTCATGAGGACCTGGAGAAGCTTATTTACGCTTTTGTGACCTCCAGGTTGGATTATTGTAACTCCTTGTACTACGGTCTTCCCTCTTCTCTTCTTCTTAGACTGCAAACAGTCCAAAATGCAGCAGCCCGCCTCTTGACTGGTACCAGGAAATTTTGCCATATTACTCCTGTTCTAGCTAGCTTGCATTGGCTGCCCATAAAGTACCGTATTCAATTTAAAATATTACTCCTTACATTCAAAACTATTAATAAATCAGCGCCGAGTTATCTTAGTGAACTTCTCAAACCACATACTCCTGCTAGAACACTTAGATCTGCCACTCAACTACTTCTGACCCAACCTAGATCTCAGCTGAAGTCCCGGGGTGACCGTGCGTTTGCTCTGGCTGCCCCGGTTATTTGGAATACCCTTCCTCTCGACCTCCGCGCATCTGATTCCATTGCACTGTTCAAATCACAACTAAAAACCCACTTATTCAATCTTGCCTTTCCCTCTAGTTAATATTTATTTTATGATTTTATATTATGCACTTTTATGCTCAGTTAATTTCTTGTTTGTTCTGTACCTGTTGTTTTCCTATGTATCAGTGACAGCTACCTGCTTGCATACCTAGTACTTGCTTTGGTCCTATTTCTATTATCTTCCTTCTATTCTCTGTGTTACTTGTTAAGCGCCTTGGAATACCCTTGGTTTTTAAGTGTGCTTTATAAATAAAGTTTATTATTATTATTATTATTTTTGGGAGTGTATTCTTAAAAAAGAAATGATTCTATCTGGTGTTGGGCTAATACAAAGATCAGCACCGAATCCAACTACACCAGGGACACAAACTAATACTAAAGTACAAAAGCAGATTCCACTCTCCAGCAAAATGTGTTATTTGTCTTTTTAGTGCTAGGATGTAATAAAGGTAAGTATAAGAGAAAAAAAGATCATAACACAATACGTTACAGCCTCTGCTGTCCACGGCTGACTCTGTTAGCCTTCCTGATAGAGTTTACTGATTTTTTCTTTTAAAAATATGCAACAAGCACCCTTGTGGATTTAGTCACTATCATACCTGTCCAAGAGCAGCAATACAGCAACACCGAGGCACTACATAAACGTGGCGGTATTCTCTCCCTCTACTTTTTATGTTCCTACCCAGTTTTATTCAAATGCATAGTCAACAATACAAGCTGGTTTTTAGAAGGGCTTGAGCATGAACAACAACACAAAAGTGGCAACAGTCTTTCATGAATTGATAAGCATTTGTAAGGACACAGCAGCTCTTTATTGTCTGCTAATGCTGCCTATACGCCGTGCTCTCCTTTCCTGTCATTTAATGCTGGTTAGGTTTTGTGCTTCCATTGAAAGACAGAAAACAAAGAAATCACCTTTGCATAATTATAACACTGGAGCTCTCTTCAATACAATACTCGCATAAGAGCGAATGTAGCTTTGGCATTTGTGGGAGGTCAGGTGGACAGACACTTCATAGAAAACATTTCCACTTTCATTTATCGCATCAATGTTCAGTCAAACAACGACGGAGGTGATTAGGCTTTCTAACGTGTACAGTCTTCTTTCTTTCTACCCTTCTAACAGCCCACTTGTGCACACAGAACAGCCATGTTTTATATCAGCGAAGGCCGTGCAAGGCAGCCCACACAGAGGGTCAGCTCACTCACCCTTAAAATCAGTGCAGAGCGAGCTATAATCACAGAGAGGGGGGGAAGAGCCAAAGAGAGATATAAAAATCTATATACAAAGAGGTATTTTGCTTTGGATTTTTGGTGATTCATCTGTCTTGCTTCAGACAGAAGTGGTTTCAGGGTATTGGCAGCATTATTTTGAAAGTACACTGAAGGGTAAAAAAAATCTACCTGAAATTAAATAATTAAACTAATTAAACTTGTTTGATTATTTCTGTTTGTACTGTGAAATTAAAAAATATCATTTTCTTAAGCATATTAAGAGAGTTTGCTTCATTAGAATTGACAAAAATAAAATTGTATTTTAGAAAATGCAGTGGAAAAATACACATCGGCATATTTCGTCAACTGTCAGAAAATGAAGACTGCATCATGCTTTCAAGGAACTCAATTATAGTCATCAACGAGCTGGTAAACAAAGATTTCTTTTGTTTTTTCTTGCATTACAATGCCAACACACAAGCATATCATTACAACACCGGTTACAAGCAATTAAATAACAAGATAAACATGGAATTCAACAGGAAAGCCACCTAAATATGTCATCATTTCAACAAATGAGTCCCAAAGCTCTACTTCTTTGTCCTTTGTTTAAGTGCTTGCATGTTTCTATTCACTTAAAGCTCTGTCTCACAATTGTTGCTTTTCTTCTACTCTTTTTGGTCTTTGTCTGGCATTAATGGCGTGTTTCTGACAAAAAAGCAGAGCTCTTATATTAAGAGGAACACCAACTTGAAGCCAGAAATCCCCCTGTGTATGTGATGAAGAAAAATGACAAGTAACAAAAACACGGGACTTTTCACAGGATGTGGAGGCAAAGAAAGTGTAAAAGTTATTCATTAGTAGTTACTGCTCTGGACAGCATACGGTCAGACACTGCAGTGCACTTTGTGACACTGAGACATGGCTAAATTACACCACTCAGTGACCATCTTTTTCCAAAGCCATTTTATTGCATGGCCCTCTGCTATTCTGTACTTAAATTTAGCTGAAAGTTTGTTTCTCACAGCACTGGCACATCACAAGACATTTAAAGACTATTTTTAGGAGCACAAACAATCCAGCCTCCCGTCTTAGCCGTACAATTTACCAGTTGAGCACACCAGGCTGCTCCTTTTTTTATTTTATGAAATTCGAGTTTGTTTCACCCCATTTCCTTTTACATTCCATGTTTTAATGATC